CACGAAAATAAAATTTTAGATATTGCCGCTTTGACTTGGCACATTAAAGTAGATTAATGGGTTTCCGGCAGAGAAACAATTGAGGTAATATATACAGGGTCAGTGGTTGAATATGGTGATCGACATATGATTCTCCATTTTCTTGAAAAAAAAAATAAAGCTCTATTTGTTTTCAAGTTACAACTGAGAGGCATGGAAGTTGAAAATAGTCAGGTGAATGTTTTAAGTACAAAAAGGATAATAGTAACGAAATATTCTTGAGCTATCACCTCGCGTAAAAGCAGCCCTAAGGATGAGTATGTGATTCGAGCACTCTCCTCCCCGTCGCGACGTGTAAATAACCCCCACCGCAGCGGCTGATGCATCCCATGAACCGACGCCGGCACGAGACGACGCTAGCTGCCGTCGCGACGTCCGGCGACCTTGGCAGAACCGATCGCTCGCAGTTCAACCCTCAAACGGGGCGGGTCGCTGTCCCTCGTGGAGATATTCCAAAGAGTTCGCATCGAGCAGGACCCCCCAAAGATGCGCACATTTGCAGGTGTTACGAAATTTACATTTTTTTCTCGGAGCTGGATATAGATATTGTTGTTGAACCCAAGTTGGGAATTATTTGGGAAGAAGAATTATGTCAACTAAGCCGAGTGTTTAGGAGGGCTGTTTGCCAAATAACAAATTTTCAAAATTTGATCTCGTATTCTCTTATAGAAAGAATCTTAATAAATGATCGAGGAATCCGTTGCCACAAAGTGACAGGACGAAGCTTTAGAAAAACAAAAAAAGTGTCTGTGACATTTCGTTTCGAAATTTCTACGAAATATTGCGTTTGTTATTTTGGTAAAAAATATCAAAATATCGGTTGTAAAAAACTGATATGAACCGTTTTTGAAGATCATCATCTTACGAAATGACATTATTTCTAGTATCTCCGATGAATTATGTGGTAAATGATGGTATGTGAGATGTTGTAAAGCAGTTGGTTTCGACAACGTATCGTTTTGATGAGCTTTCTAAGATTTACTTACGAGCAACTTGATAAACCTTCAACAATTCTGTGAAATGAAATAACCTTACAACTTAGCTATTACCTACGGTAATAGGTAGATAAGCGCTACTACATACACATAAATACACAGAATTTTATGCACTTAGAATCACATCTAAGTATTGAGACTTAGAATTGTTGATAGATCTACTGATTTTGAGTATAACGGATCTTTGAGAAAACTGTGCGTGCCCACTTTTTTCATACATAATTATTACAATGGCCTACTGAATAATATGTTCTGTATTTACTAGTCGAAAGATTACAATAGATAGAAGTAACGACGAATCTATGAATGTTATCGAATACATTTCTGTATGACTCTGTTTTCCTAGAGTTTGACGTTCGAATTATTGAAGCTAGAGGTCGCTTATTCTGTGCTCTGTGGTCTATGCCGAAAAGGTAATGTTTGAAATTCGAACTCCATATTTCGAAATACATTTTATTAACAGTGGAAGTCGGAGAATCTGGCCGACCAACTGAGTTATCAAATAAAATTATGCGGTGTAGAAGAGCTAACACAAATTAATCGTCCGGTTTGGCAACTAAGTTCTGTGGTTCTCCGGTCAATGACGAATGATGTACTACGGATTTTCTGCCAAACGACCATTGGCCCGAAACTAACTTTAGCGAATATCCAATTAATTTTATAACAAACTCGCATGTTTTATTTTTTGAATTTGTGAGGTCAACGACCGTCCAGATCATCCTTTCCAACTTTGTTAATGATGCATACAATGAAAAGTGAGCGATATGTAGTGACGTTTCCGTCAAAAACGTGTCTGTCCTCTTGTTTATTTGTCTTATCAAGGTAAACATAAACAAAATACGTTCCATTTCAAAATCTCATCCAATATTGACTCGATCTTGATAAGCGAGAAATTTTGAGTGTGTGAGAATCTGTTACGGGTTGCATTAATCTTGAAAAACCTGGACCCATTATCGAGGCGTGTCATAATATGTACAGATCGGTTGAACGACATGCATCGAGTAAGATTTCCTTGAAGTTTTTCTGGCATCCCGCATTTATTACGTAATGATACGGCGTCATTGGAATTTTGTTGGACAAAATTTTGTAATGTCGCCTACCAGACGAAAAGTGAAAGTTGTTTTATTGTAATTTTTGAATAATCGTACCCTCGTCCATTTTTTTCGAATCAGTTTCAAGTTCAACGAGCTATCATGAAATGTCAGATGCACTTTATCTAGAATATTTTATGTTTCAAATCAAACCAGATTCGGTAGAAAGGATTTGGTAATGTTCCACATAAGTGATTTACTGTATAAATATAATTATGAAAACTTGTGGTAATTTTAAATACAACATGAATTATGAAGAGAAAAAAAGTGTCAAACATGAACTTCAAAAACAGTTCTATCAATTTTCCCCGGAAAATGCCTTGTTTTTGGTTTATTCATGTTGAAACTTTCGATTTCAACGAATAAGAAACAACTATCAACAAGCCATTGGTTCATTTTATTGGATTCACAAATATGATAATCCCACAATTTTCAATGCATATTTATTTGAACAATTCACATCCTCTAGAACAGGGGTCTCCAAACTACGGCCCGCGGGCCAAATCCGGCCCGCCAGTGTCATCAATCCGGCCCGCGACAGCCAATGATTTACTGTCATCAATCAATCTGGCCCGCGACAGCCAATGATTACCTAATTGTTGTTACTATTGCTGTTGATAAGTTGAAGAAGAAAACACAGAATGATAATTACTCGGTTTTATTTACTTGCAAGGTAAAACTTAACGACAGAAATGATGACACAGAAAAATTAACTCAAGTATCTAAGTTTAAGCATATTAATAACTAACAAATAATTGAAATGAATCACAGTAAAACAAAAACACTAATGAGATTTATGTAATTGTGATTTTCCACCGACAATACTTTGTAGTTGTGGATCAATTTTATTTGTACCAATTATCAAAAGAGATTTAAGATGCTCATCGGTTAATTGAGATCTGTAAACATGCTTTGTGTACTCCATCTTGGAAAACGTTTTCTCACACAAGTAAGTAGTAACAAAAACAGAAAAGAACCCACGAGCAAATTTATGCAAATTATCAAATTGTTCCAGTGGAAGACTCTTATAAAATTCCAACAAAGATGAATTTTGATATTTGTTCTTAAGCATATCACTGCACCGTAAATCAATAATTTCCATTTGGACTTCCGGAGCCAGGGTTTCAATGTCAGAATCAAAAGGATTTTGAAAAAGCTTAATTTCATTCGCAATGACATCAAAATCTGAAAAACGAGTATCAAAATTTATCTTCAAAGCACTCAAAGTTTCGATTGCAAAATTGACGGGAAATTCAGTCTCTGTGGTGTGGCTGAATATTTCACATGTTTCAAAATGTGTGAAACATTTTTTACGTAATTGCTATTGAAATAGTATTATTTTCTGCCTGAAGGATTTGATATTGGTGTATTAATCAGGGAGAAGCTGATTTTCTCCTTGCAATTTCAAATTCAGTTCGTTCATATGCTTTGTCAAATCGACATAGAAGGCTAACTTCCACATCCATTCACTATTTTCTAAATCGGCAAAAGGGCGCTGCTTCTCATTTAAAAAAATTTCGATCTCTGCTCGAAGTTCAAAAAAGCGCTTAAGGACTTTTCCGCAACTAAGCCAGCGTACGGCAGTATGATATAGTAAATCATTTTCTCCAAACTGTTGAATAAACTCGCGGAATTGTCGGTGATTCAGCTCAGTGGATCTGATGAAGTTAACAACTGATATGACTTTCCAAATATTCAATTACGCCTGATGCCACCTAGCGGGTAGCTAAAAAAGATAGTACATAGTACCACTACTCGCCACTAGATGTCGTTGAGTGTCACAATACACAATAATAATTGAAATGCAAAAAAAGCGTAAGTTTGCTTAGGTCACGCACTTTGCGACTATCCTAGTCTAGAAATATAGTTAAGGGCAGAAATTGGCCCTTGGAACAAACTGAAAAAACCATTATGGCCCGAATGCTTCAAAATTTGGAGACCCCTGCTCTAGAAGGTGTGGCGAAGTAGATGTTAAGTAGAACATTAATACAAATTTTCGTGGAAGACTGTGTCGTTGGGCAAAATTATAAAATCGCAGTATTTCACCTTCATTGATTGTACTATTCCTGCAATCCCAATTAGTGATCCGTGTAATGCACATTACTTTCTCGTACCCAGCCTACGAAAAGACGATTGCAGTCGTTGATGCAACCATATTCCGCTCTCTGGCGATTTCTTCTCGCTCAATCAGAGGAAATAATTGCAGTCTCCCCCGTAGATCGGAACCCATTCATTATTTGATTCGATCGAATCGACGCCTTCTTAATGGTTCGCAGTCAGTTTAGAAGAAATGTTTTCTGTTGCGCAACGCCCTGTTTCTTGTCTCGACGTAAAAATAGAAACGGCTGCCGGTGTAATGAAAAACGCAATGATCTCCGCTACATTTGAGACTAACCTAAATATCTGATTCTATTTCGAAAATAGGAAACGACCAACAAGGTAGGTGTAGTTATGTACGAACGGCGATGAAGGCATCGGGCTATTTGGATGTTTTTTTTATGGGCTCGACGTAAAGTTTCGAGCACCGGGTCAACGATTCGGAAAGATACAATGTTCCTTTAGAATCGGAAATGAGCTTAGAAAGAAACTATTTTTTTGGAGACACTCCAAATGGCGTGGTTAAATTTTAGAAGGCGTAAAAAGTCGATGACATTTGATTGAGAAGCTTTTTGCGACCTATTTTTTTGAAAGTTTACTTTTAATGTCTCAGGTGATGAAAATGTAGCAAATTTCACCACTTCCTATTGTTTAATTTCAATAAACTAATTCATCGACGAAAGAGTTTTAGAGCACTAGACACAATCGAAAATATGTTATGGATCGTATGATTCACATAGAAATTCAAATATGGTCTTAATGAATAAATGTGGGTGAATTTACTTGAGATATTATATTAACAATAAGTATTTATTTTGTCATAAAATGCAAAACTACACAAAAAAGGACCAAGTACATTTAATAGTGTATCAGGATAGCTCTTTGACAGTTTTCTTCAGATTAGGTGCAGAAGTTATCTCTGGAGTCCCACAGGGATCAAATTTAGGTCCCTTATTTGTTGTTCTTTCTATAAACGATTTGCCAGCAGTGCTGGAATTCTCAGAATGCCTAATGTTTCCTGTTGACCTAAAAATGTATAAACAAGTACAAACAGTGAGGGATTGTGTAATGCTTCAAAAAGATCTGAACAAGGTGTGAAAATAAATTATTTTTCAATATTGATAAATGTTCAGTAATGTCGGTTACGCGCAAAAGAGACCTTATTCTCTTCAGTTATGAACTGAATAGGGTCCCTCTTGAAAGAAATACAGAAATAGAAGACTTAGGGATTACATATAATGATACATTATCATTTAAGAATCACGTAAGGAATATTACAAGAAATGCAAATAAAATGTTAGGGTTTATTATCAGGCAAACTAGAAATTTTAGCAATATACATTTGATCAAACTAGTGTACTACACATTGGTTAGAAGTAAATTGGAATTTGGATCAAATATATGGTTTGGCGAATATAACTGCACATTATATGAATCGGAAGAACTTCAGAATGAATTCTTAAGATATCTTTACTTCAAAAAATATCACGTATGGCCAGACTACCTTTTAGTGAGAACATCTCATTTGAGAGATGAATTCAGGATACTTTCTTTGCAAAATAGGCGCAAAATTTGTGTAATATTTCTTCACCGACTTCTTAATAATAAACTTAACTCAACTCACCTCATATATTATCGTCAATTAATTTTCACGTTCCAACCAGAAGGACAAGATCAAATACAATGTTTTATATACAAAATGTCTACTCCATAGATGCCCCACTTACTACAGGTATGTTGCGTCTCGCAAATGAACTGAATGTAATAATTGATATAGATTGGACAGATTCTCTAACAAATTTAAGGAAAAAAATCATTATACCCCGTTACTGACCCCGTCAGTAACTGATTTATTATTTTTACTTCTTTTTATTTTTAGTGTATTATATTGTACTATTATATTGTATGTAATAAGGTCATCCTTGTAATTAGACCTATGTGGTCTGTTAGGGTGAATAAATAAATAAATAAATAACCTATGATGATACTCTGAGGATATATTATTTTGGGGGTTATTGTAAAAATCCATCCCATAAGTCGGTTTATCTAGAGCTGTAATCAATATAATCACAGTTTTAACATAGTACTAATTTATTTGTGAATTGGGGACGTTAGAACATTGTTTATAAAGTTTTCTTTGTTGTTAATCACCTTTGAGTCTTCAGTCTGAAAAAAATACTATATTAATTCAAAAATATTTTTATTCAGACCAGTGTTTAATTTTATTCGAATGAAAAAATGCAATTTCAAATTGTCAACCAAAAACTTTACGGAATGAGCTTTTTGTATAAAAAAATTTGTATCTTTTTTAAAAATATCGTGTATGTTGAGCTATTTTGAAAAACTGTTGATATTTTTTGTTTCATAATCATGATTGTGGCGATACTATTTTTCTAAAGTCAAACATCGTAAATGTTACATCATAATCGAAATAAGAATAAACGAACAATTTTTTTTTTTTGAAACACCTAACCAAGTTATTGTGGTACATTTTGGGAACGAAGGCTTCATGTTAACTAATTAAATTCAAAAGTATGCGAATTGTGTTCAATTTTCTCCAATTAGAAATTCTATGTATCTCTTTTTCGAATATTTTCATTTAAGTAGACTTTTTACTACATACAAAGACTTCGCACTTTTTTGTACGACTATAGAAAACGTTTGAGATAAATTTTTTTGCAAATCGACCTTATTTTGATTTCATACATATTTGTTTTTGCTTTATTTCAATATTTTTAGCATTTAGTCCAATCATTGAAGGTAAAATACGGCAATATTGTACAGTTTTTCCAAACAGCACTGATCTACTTGAAACATTAGGATTCAGCGTTATGTAATTTGGTTGTGTTGTAACACTTATTTACTTGGAAGTTGTCTTTGGAAGTTGTTCTTATCAATAAACATTAATGATTTTTTCAAAATTCAAATCGGCTTTGTTGGTGTATTGATTGTGAATCTTCATTGCAATAGATTAAAGTTGTATCATCAGCAAATGGCACTAATTTTTCAGAAAGCTGTAATTTCGAAATGCGATTTATATAAATGAGAAAGGGTAATGGCCCTGATATAGATCCCTGCGGTACTTCACAAACAATTTTTTAATGAACTATTCTTATTTGCCGCACATTGCTTCCTACCACTTGATTGATTTCGAAACCATAGATATGCATTACCTCAAAAACCAATATTATATAATATATTTGTAGATTATATTTTTTTCGGAGACTACAAATATGAAAATCCACTCTCTAATCACCACTTCATTTATGTACTTGAAATATGCTACAGGTTGTGAAAAATATTTAAGTTTGAAGTGAAGAGTATTTTTGTAATTTTACAAAAACTTGCCTATTTCTATTAATTGCGGCATTAAAGAATATGCATTATTGCTATATTTTACTTTTTAACATTGGACTAATTCCACATTTTCGTGCCGTTCGGCAAAAATTATATGGGAAAAAGGTCATTGACTGCGTTAATTAATATCATGGAAAATTTCAGTTTATTTTTTTACCTAATGGGTCGTATAGTGTTTCGCAACCTGAAAGAATTTGTTGATACTGAGGCAAGAGAACATCGCACACTACACAAAATGATTCGTTGTCTATTTGAGCTACTGTTTCGTTGTAAACGAGATAATTTTCAACTTTGTCAACATTTCTACGTTGATAATAGGGTTATGTCACTTCATACTATGCGTGGAAAGTGCGTTGACACGAAACCGAGAAATATGATCCCACACGAGGCAAATCATAAATCAAGAATTGTTGTAACTATTTACAGCAAACTTTCATTTCAGAAACGAAAGATGCCGCTGTTAATTGAACGGTTACTAGTGTTACTGCTTTCGGAGAATAATGCAAATTAAAAAAAAGGGCCGTAAAACTTGTCGTTTTAAATGGAATGCAATTACGAAGTTTAGCCTGAAAAACACTTCCTTGAGGCCCGACAATTCCAAGAATGGATCATCAGTCAACTGTCCACTTTACAGGGTTTTTCGACCGTTCTCTCGTTCACAACAAAATGCGCCAAGTAATAAATCGCACTTTACTTTTTATGGCGCTGTACTTGTAAAAGTAACACCCCAAACGCATATCTGACAGTTCGTAGAATCTGCCAACACGTTCGGGGTGCGTGATATTTCTGTTTTCTACTACCTGATCCAACCTCTGAGCGTCCTTCTCGGAAAGCAAAATGCGGAGAAGAAGATTAGCGGTCGGCATTTCCTATAACTAACAACAATATTTGCTTTCCTCAAGAAAGATTGCACACGGCTTTGTTAAAGATAGGCGCAGTCTGGGTTTTTGGACCTCCTAAATGAAAATTCATTATCCTGGTGAAGGATAAGCCGCCTCGGACCTGAATAGGGACCGTTATCTCTCTTTACAATGGGCTGTTTACTCCTACAATCGAGTATTTAGGTAGAGAAATGCTGGCTGTGAAATAATTTCAAGTCGGGATGTTGATATTACATGAGAGGGGCTTGGAAAAAAATAAATAGACCAACAGGGCAGCGATAAAAAATAAAGTTGGAGACAATGTATGTGTCATATTGCACCTATAAAGAAATTTTGAAGTTCCTGTATAATCCGGTCAATCTAGACATTGGAGGGTACATGAATTTACAAGCTGCAAACGCGTGTAATTGTTCAAAACATAGTTGAAAACAAGATTTTAAAATTCCGAGTGATTGCGATGCCTGGAAAAAAAATTATTCGAGGTCAAAGATCTCGAAAAAAATTGTTTTTTGGCGATTTTCAGGAAAACGGTAAGTTTTATCATAAAATAACCTCGGATAAAAATTGTAGATCATAAAATTCTCTACAACTAAATCTTTTTCAAACATTTTAAAGACTGTTGCTTTACCCCTCCTGTAAAATGCAGACGTGGTATCACAGCCAGTTATTGCGTGTAAAAATAGTACATGATTTTGACTCTTTGCAAAAGTAGATACACTTTTTGACGAATATATTTCGGTTTCACTTTGAGCTTTTCCTGGCTTTACAAAGAAAATAGTTTTTTCAGGTGGATTTCGAGCAGTAAGAAGTACGAGTAAGTCTACATCTTCACCAATAACAATAGTTGTATTTGTCATATTAAATTGCTCTATAGCTGTTTCAATAATCAGTACGTCGGCATCGTTATTAGCATGTTTAACCAATATATTTTCGCTCAAGGTTGCACTAGCGTACAAATTAAGGGACTTGGTTTCATTCTACCTGATATTCTTATATTTATACTTATGTATACCAATAAATATTTTTACTTAAATTACAACTTCAGAGATGTATATACGTGGCATACTTATTCATATAATGACGAATACAACTTTTTGACACGTCGTATCTCAGAAACGGTGGCTCCAAGAAAAAAAAGTATTGATACATTTTTGTAGATAATTTTATGATCTACAATTTTTATCTGAGGTTATTTCATGATAAAACTTACCGTTTTCCTGAAAATCGCGAAAAACCAATTTTTTTCGAGATTTTTGATCTTTGATCACGAATCAATTTTTTTCCAGGCATCGCAATCATTCGGAATTTCAAAATCTTATTTCTAAGTATGTTTTGAACAGTTACACGCATTTGCAGCTTGTTGTAAATTTATGTACCTTCAATCTTATTTTTTAGTCTAATATGACCGGACTAGTAGATATGTTTGGTTTCAGTTATCAAATGAGAGTATAATTTATTCGTTATGAAAAAAAATGTGTTTCATTGTCCAAAGAACATCAGGTCTAATTGACAAAGTTGCAAATTTTCTTCAGTCACCATACAAGTAATAATAAAAATGCAGTATACTATACTTTGTTTTTATATTAAAAATACATATTAAAAATACAAACTGGCCTCATAGAACTCTTCTGAATTATAATCGGATCTACCACATAATACATCTTTTACTGATTTCCAAAATTTACAGTTATACTCTAAAGTTTTATGGCCAGGTGCAAGAAATGATTAAACATCTTAACCAATGAGCCTCATTCTAAGAGACGTAAGCTAAAAGAATCAGCGTATAGT